GAATATAACATTATAACATGATATAAAACTCAAAAAAGTTGATTTTACATGATATTGCCCCTTTAAAGAGACAGCATCAAAACGAGTTGATCTGAAACATCTCAGAAAAAGGGCGGGGCTTGTGGAGTTACAATAAGGAGGAATTCAGTCAAAATATTGCAGGTCTACTTTATAAACACCCCAACTGAATGATTCAGATGTGGAAAAAGAAGCATTTAAAGGCAGGATATGTTTCTGTAAAGAAATCTTTACATATTATGGATCAAAAACAATCTCTCTGTAAAAGAAYAGGAGCAAAGCAGTTTTTTTTTCTTAATTTAATTTCATATATTTGTGACAATCTTCCTGGTTCTGGTTCCCCTCAGGAAGGAAGAGCCACCGTTAACCAGGACACCAGGCTGGACAACAGGGTGATTGATCTCAGGGTAAGTTGCTCAAATCTCAGCCTGTTGAAGCTGTTTAAATATTTATATTTCAACTGAAACTTTCATCTTTTACTTTCCACATATGTGGAATTAGTGAATTCATGCAACTGCATTTCGATGTGGTTTCCAAGAAACCATTTTCTATGAGGACTGTTTTTGTTTTACTTTACACCAAACTAAAAGCATGCTGCCTAATGCAATTAAAAGCCGAGCAAACCTCAGCATGTGAGATGCAAAAGCGTTTGTCTGTGATTTAGGGGGAGCTGTTGCTACGAATCTGTGTGTGGGAGATGTGTGAAATCTATACAAGCAGCAGAAGGCAGAGAACCGCAAAGTTTGTCATTGTTTTGATAAGTGTGGATGGCACGGCTGGCAGGAAGGCACAAACACTACAGCGCAGCGGCGCGCAGCTCAAAACTCTCACAACAACACCTGTTTCAGCAACACATTACACTTTGAGCTCGCAGACGAGGGTCTGTCATCAGTTTCGCACTTAAGAGCACAGTGAAGCTGTAAAGTGGTTCCCACACTGTCAGACAAACACTCCAAGAGGGGACCTATCAACCTCCTCTAAGAATAGTTCGGTTCCTCCAAAACTCCCCTTGTGCCAAACTTAAACATCAGGTGTTTCTCACAAAAACGCAGCGGAAAAGTTGATTTAGTTTGTGAAAGACAACTGGACTTTTACTCTGAGTAGGAAGTCACACTGTACAAATCCTCTAAACATGCTGCAGGTGTTCTCTCATTGTTACAGACCTGTTGAAATAATGTAACTCTGTCCAAACCTAAGCATGCTTTATGTCCATTCGATTAAAGTATCTATATCAGGGCTGTTCAACTAAATTGCGTGGGGGGCCACAGTTACTGCAGGCCAACAGCACAGTGGCCGAACATCCAGCAATTAAATCCTTCTGTCAATAAATCAAGTATTTCAAAGATCTGTTACCTTTGAAATAGTTTATTTTACTGCATTTAGTCATGAATACATCATACAGAACCCTATGTAATGAAAGTAGTGATAATAAATCAATATAAAAATAAAAACACAATAAAAAATAACACATTATTCCTCTTGAACAAAAAAAAAATACTTTGACATCTCTGACTTGCCAAATTTTTAAACCAATTTTATTTCACTTTCATGTGCTTCAATTGCTTGTAGTTTTAACTGTCTTGGATGTTCATAGAAATGGTTTTCACCAGCTTCTGGCCACGATTTTGACGTTTCTGTAGATACCAAACATGTCTATAATTAACTAAAAGAACTTCAAGTAATTAAAGTAGAAAATCGGGGGTTTGGGCTTAAGAGATGAATGAACCAATTGGCGGGCCAAACTTTTGTCACTCGTGGGCCGAATGTGGCCCGCGGGCCACCAGTTGAATAGCCCTGATCTTAGGCCATTTTAAGTTTTGGTAATGTTGCAAAATCTTTAGTAAGTTCAATAAAATTACTTTGGATTTAGAGAAGCTGAACAGGCAAAGCAGTAACCTAAATTAAAACCCCAAAAGTTTAACCACATAATTTTTAAACAGGTCACAGTTACATGTATATATTTTTAGGGTATTTTAGCTGTTAAATTTGACCTATTTTAGCTATTTTGACTAAGTCTTTTATACAGGTGTACCTGCACACAATGTATAACATATGTACGAAAAGGAAACGGTTTTAGACCTTTTCCCCATTATTTATTTAGCATAAACACTTTAGATTAAAATTTAGCTTTAAAATGTTAAAGTGAATATATTAAGTATGTTTCAAATTTGTGCATAGATTTTTTTTCTAATTGGTTTCTATCCACCGTTGTAAATTTTAAGAAAGTTTTAAAACAAGCTAACACTTTTTAGGAAAGCTTCTCTTTGTTTCAAGATAAATTGTCCAAAAGTAAAAGCTCTCGAGTCGATGTTTTCAGGTTAATTAAATTAATCCATGGATAAAATATTAGTTGAGTGGAGAAGTGACTCCATAATGAGGCTTCAACAGAAATTAACCTTTTTTATTTTTGGGCTTTGAAACTCGGCTGTGGTGATAAAATACCGCAGCCGGGTTTCAAACCAGCACAGTTTGCCTCTCGGAGGTAAGTCACGTTCAGGTGCAGGCTCTAAAGAACCGCAACATCAGAGGGACCCACCAGTTTCAGGATACTAGCTGCTACCTACCTCAACCATCATACCTCTCCACTGCAGACGTGTTGTAAACAGGAAAATGCTTTCAAAGATTTGACCGTAACCTCGCTCAGACTGGCTTAAAGTCTGTTTTCCTAGATTTAACGAGGGGCTCTGCCCAACGTGTGACAAAATGAATCATCGCTGTTCTGCTTTACTGATCTGCAAAGATTCTCATGTAGGTTTTTGTAAGCAGGGAAGTTTCATATTTGCCCACTGCTACTTTTTACTTATTGTTCCGATTTTAGCTTCAGATTTCTTTAAGACAACCCTGAAGCATTGTCTGCAGAGAAAGAGGCTTTCTAGTTTTCAAGCACTATCACTTTCCCTTTTTTTTCCCCCTCAACATTTTGTTATTTGAAGCCTGCTTGGATTTAGACATGCACTGTAAAGACTCGACAAGGAGACTGATGTCTGTCTTCATGATATGTAATAACCAAAGCTGAAAGCCAGTAAACTGCCCTGCTTCTGAGATGACTCTCAGGGGAGTGTACTTTTACCTTTTTTGTCTGCTCTGTCACTCAGCCGTTACAATTGTGGGGTTTCTCCAGGTTGCAGTTTAACAGTAATCTCCCGGTTCACGTGGAGAAGTTCACTCCCCTCCACGCTTTCAGCTTTTACATTGATAATGATGGGTTTTAAGTTCCCGAGGCTCTTGCTGGGCTTGAATACAGGTCTCGCCTTTGCCAGCAAATTAATGTTTCAACCTTCGTGCAAACAGAAGGTGCAAGTGGAGGGAAAAAAAAAAAAACTGGCAGTCTTGTTTTTGCACATCTGTTATGATTGTGTAATGAATCCAATGAATCACTCCAAGTGTGGTAATGGCCCCTCTGCTTGTGGCTCAGTATTTTAATTGTGTGTGTGTGTTTCTTCCCAAAGACGACCACCAGCCAGGCTGTCTTTYGCCTGCAGTCTGGCGTGTGCCAGCTTTTCAGAGACACCCTCACCAAGAAGGGTTTTGTGGAGATTCAGACCCCTAAAATAATATCAGGTAAAAAAAAAACCTCTCTTTGTCATATTTTTCTTTTATCTCCTGTGTGAAAATGGAAATTAACGTGCATAAATAATACAGTTTTAAATATATTTCAGTACAGGCACTTGTTTCCATTCTTCCACCCACAGTTGTCCTGTGAGTCACAGTGTGACAGTTGAGGAGCTGACTTCCTCTACAGAYGTTTCTACACTACGTATTCAAACCACGAATCAAACCTGAAAGTATTACAAACAGTTTGAGTCTTAAAAACCTAAACAGCCGTGCACACGCAGTATTATAGTCGGTGTGCTATTTTGGAGAACTTCAAATCTATAAGGATTTTAWTCCAAACCAACTGGGAATTGGAACGCATCAGCGTCTCAGCTACCAATTTTTCACACAGTTCAGATTTGACAGAGAGGGCTTTTCTTTGAAATTATTCCTAAAAGAAGTCGTCTTGCTTTGCCGTAGGAGGGAATAACAAAAGTCTTCTCGACTCTGTTCACTAGAGAAATTTGAGCTTTTAAATGAATTGCATATTTGATCCTATTTTCTCAGGAAACCGTACTTTCTAGTAAAACAAAAGTTCAGCTTCATACAGAATGAATTGTTTAAAGCTCAAACTGGATATTACTCAAAATGAACAAATATAAATGACTGAATTGTTTTTACATGTTCTTTTTTTTGTGACAAACTCCCACGGTGCGCAGAATAAAAACCCAGTAGTATTTGAGTCTGTGGCTTTTCACACGCCTTTCAAATTTGAAAGGATCTCGCTTCCTCTTTTCTCGCGGAGCCAATGGTTTTGACTTTCTTCGATTCAAAAGTGGCGCTCTTTTCTGTTGGCGGCACCTGTGAATCAACACAGTGTGCTTTTTTTTTCATCGTTTTCTTTTTTTTTTTTTTTTGTGCAAAACCGCATCTTCCTGCATGCCTACGCCCATCACACATGCAGGGTACACAGTTTGTGCGGTGTGAGAACCCCCCACCCTGCTTTCTGTCGACACCAGGATGTCAGATCGTGCCTTATGACGTCTGTGTCAAAGCGAGAGCTGCAGATGTGCCACGCGTGGCTGGTCTGCGTTATATAACTCTGAAATATGTTTGTTTTGAAAGGCACGCCACGTGATGAATGTTTTTATAATATGACATTCACAAGGGTGCGTTAGACATATACTTATTAAAAGTTAGTGTAAAATGGCTTATCTGATCTTAAAAAGGTATTTTTTATCAGGTGTCAGAGTGTTAAGTGTCCATCACTCTCCTGGCCTTTGCAGTTTAGTGTCCTTGAGGCAGCAAAAAGCATCTCCCAACATTTCTAAAACCAAATGTTTGTCCTTTTCTAGCTGCCAGTGAAGGTGGTGCAAACGTTTTCACCGTGTCCTACTTCAAAACCAGCGCCTACCTGGCCCAGTCCCCTCAGCTCTACAAGCAGATGTGCATCTGTGCTGACTTTGACAAGGTCTTCTGCGTGGGTCCAGGTAAAAAAAAAAAAAAAAGAATAAATTAAAAATAAATAAATAACTGCCTCCCATCTGACACCTCAAAGTACTTACAGGCAAAACAGCAAGATGAGCGGCTAGAGTGTAATGAAAAAGGTAGACCCTATTAACTGAGATGACACGTTTAAAATTGCTCCAAACGTGTTTAAGATTGTTAAATTCTCCCAGACGTCCCCCTGGTGCTTTTTTTTTTTTTTTTTTTACTGTGGCTGAGTCTGTTAGTGACACAGTGGGACTTTAAAAAGGCTTTATGTATAGAATTAAAAGAGTCTGCAGGTCTTTCAGGTGAGCAAACACTGCCACCCTCTGATTAGTTTTGCAAACAATTTCATCATTTCATTGTTTTATGCTGATCATTTGTCCTTTTCACAAATGTCTTTAAAAAAAGGTTTTTGATTTATATTTAGTGTTGAATTCTCCAAGATGAAATAAAACTTGTGGGAGAAGGATATTGAGTATTCCACTGGCTGCACGGGCTGCAGTGTTTTATCTGTTTCTGTCTACCTACACCAGAGGAATCAAAGGGCTTAGGGTCATTTCTGACTTTCAGGCATCATTGTTCTCACCGCTGTTGCCCCAGTTACACTTAATCAGAACTGGGATCAACTCTCTTTTTTTTTATTCTTTTTTTTCCAAAATCCCTGTGGTCAAAGGCACAACTTTGTTCAAATTTAGCCTCCAACATCCATGCAACCATGGTGGGCTGTTTGAAAGGAGCAAAAAAAAGGTCCACCTGGAAACAAATAGTTGTAAACAAATAGCTTGTTGTTTGCTCAGAACAGGAAATGTCACCATGTGTAGTGTTACACTGTTTTTTTTATATCACACAAAAGGTCGTCACAAGTTTCCAGGTGGCTACTTTGTTCATGCATACAAAAGCAGAAGCTTTTTTTATTTTTTTAGTTTTCCAACCTCTCTGTTGCTCCACGTTTGCTTTATTTTGACACTGATGTGAAATCGTGAACAGTTTTCAGGGCCGAGGACTCCAACACCCACCGTCACCTGACGGAGTTTGTGGGTCTGGATATCGAGATGGCCTTCAACTACCATTACCACGAAGTGATCGACTCCATCACCGACACCATGGTGCAGATATTCAAGGGCTTGAGAGACAAGTAAGACATGAAGGGGATTCAAACTCAGATAAATTTAGTTTAATTTTTCAGAAACGGTGACAGACAGGTGTGCATCCCGAGCTGAACGGAGAACTGAAATCTGATTATCGTAAAAAGCCCACGTTCAAAAAAGTTCATTTCAGTTCACTTTTATACAGACTATTGTGTATCTCTTTTTATCATTGTGTAAATGAAAAAAATTTAAAAAACAGTGACGTCTTCTTTCAAAACCTTCAGAATATAAAAGGAAACAACTTTAAGATTGTTCTGCAGTAGACAAATGTGTTGCAGAGTTTGAAAGCAAATACATATTTAAACACATACAGTATATAACAAAACACAGCTTTTCAAGGTATAAGCTGGAACATACAAATTTTTATATGAAACCTCTAAAGATTAAAAAAATGTCCCATCAACTAACAGATTACCCAGTGGAACATGATAATGGAAGATTTTCTTTCTTTTGCTTGGTATTACAAGTCATCTGAAACTGCATGTTTCAAATGAAACATTACTTCAATAAATATGTGCTGATTTGCATAAAAGTCCAATAGACAGAATGTTGTGAAATAAATTCCTGTATATTAGACGTTCACCGTCTAAAGGATTATTTTGCAAAACAGCCTAAAATTACAAAAACATGATTTTGCTTGAGTATAAGTAGTGTTCTCTGTGATTTGTTCCAACTCTGTTAACTGAAGCAGCATGAAAACAAAAGGCTTAGATGTGTCTTTATTGCCTCCTAGTGGTGAAAAACGGCGCAGCAAGTATTAAATGAAACAGGTTCTGAAAGCTTTTTAACTTTAAATATCTCTGCAGAGCAGTGAGGAAAAAGTACTTAAACACTTAGAAGTTTTACTTTATGTATAAATACAATTACCACAAATGAAACCATATATTTTGAGGAAGTATAAGGATCATTTAGTTGAAACTGATTATGAAGTTGATGCTGTACAAGTACAAAGTGTTTGTTTGTTTCAGCTTGTGATCACTGTTCCTCTTTTTCAGGGCGCGTTGACTGTTTTGTTCTTATGATTTTCCAGACAGTTTCCTTTGACGTATGAAACTAATTTGAAGGTCTTGATGACTAATGTTCCAGCTCTGCAGGCACATAGGATTTTCTTGATTATTAGAAATGTGATTAAAGAAATATCTACATGGTGCTACTTCTGCATTCACTGAAAGAATGTGGCATATTGTTGTTTTGCTTTTTTTACACAACTAGCATTGGCTTTTTTATTTATTTAAAACACCGTATAGATTCATAACTAAACATGGACTGTGGTTTTAGTTGTAAACTGTCACATTTATTATTTTTTAATTAAAAAATTTTTTTTAGATTTTGCTTCCAAGGCATCAAACTTTCTAATAGGGCTGCACAATACATCGCAAATATATCATCATTGCAATATCAGTGTGCCCAATATTCATATGGCAAAGGATGGTTTGGATTGCAGTAATTGTTGACTAATGTACTTAAAGAGTTGTATTTTTCATGCTAATGCAATATTTAGCCAGTAGGACAGAATCTCACACCAGACACAAGTGACTTTGCCAAAAATGCTAAAGTTCACATAGAGTAGGAAGTACAGATTAGAAAGGGAGAAAAGGAAAAAAGACATATATCACACCTGATATCATCTTCACAATATTTACACATATTATTGCCATCGCAAGATTTTCTAATATGGTGCAGCATTATTTTCTAATCCATTAAAATGTTCTTGATCAATAGTCCTCCGGGCTTTCTCAAGGCCTTACAAAGTTATTTCTTTGAACTTTGGCTGCGTTTTCTCATATTTTCAGTCCCATCTTTGTTCCCGATCATGACAGCATATTCTGTGGTGTGTGACCACATACCAGGACTGAGAAACTTACAATATCTGAAAGCTGTTTTTTCCTGAGGAAATGAGGAAAAACATKTGTAGCAAAGACCTGACACAGGACCTGAGAAACGTGTCATCCAACACTTGATCATTAGCTGTCAAGTTTTCAGCTAAAAATCCTATTTTATGCCAAACTGTTACTTTTAGGACGTCTTTGTGACAGGTTACTGGTAACAAAATGCAGAAAGATCCCATTTAAACTGGGATCTATGATCAGTTCTTTGTGTTTCGGTGCAGCTTAGTCTTGTTCTTCTCTTCAGTTTGAGTCTTTTTATGCCTGAATGGTTCATAAAGTCTGGTTCAAGGAAGCAAAAAGGAAAAGAATGAGGGGAGACGTTTGCAAAGTTGTGTAATTTAGTAAATTTCCAGGTGTCATTTGTTTCCAGTGAGGCCATATCGTCATTAGAAGGTTAGAGTTTAAGTCTGGATCATTTGAGCGAAGTGTGCGTGACCAGTTCTTGAAGTGATGGAAAATAATCTGCRTGTGTTTCTGATTCAGCTTCCAGACAGAGATTCAGACGGTCAACAAGCAGTTCCCGAGCGAGCCGTTCAAGTTCCTGGAGCCCACCCTTCGGCTGGAGTTCACCGAGGCCGTGGCCATGCTGCGCGAGGCCGGGGTCGAGATGGGTGACGAAGATGACCTCAGGTCAGCTTACATCACACGGCCTTTCTCCTGCCGGGGCCACATGTCTTGTCAGATGATTGGATTTAATAAAAGCAGAAGTCAAATTTAACAGGAGTTCTAACTAAGGTCGGGACATTTTACACGAGTGACTCAGCAGTTAAAACCCATGCAGTCTTATTTAAGTATTCACAGGAAAAACATGGTAGATAAAGAATTTATATTGAATATTACTGTTTAAGTCCATCTCGTTTTTGTTGTTCTGCAGTACACCCAATGAAAAGCTGCTGGGTCGTCTTGTCAAGGAAAAGGTTTGTTCAGATTCATTGAATATCAACCAGTAAACATTTATTTAAAAAAAGGAACATTGTTTAAAGGGCATCAGTAAGTGTGTGTTTAAAGTTAAACTACATGAGGATAGTTCAAACTCAGCACCATTTAAGCCACAGAGGATTCTTCACAAAGTATTTCTGGAGGTTGAAATAAAAAAAATTAAAAAAATCACATTCTTGCCTTTATTTTAACAGCCACACAGAAACATCATCAGAATAATTGTTGTCATGTTGATCAAAAACACTGATTTAATCAAAAATACACGACAGACATTGTTGTGTTGTAGAGCGGGACGTGGGGCAAGTTATTATCAGATTCTTCACACCCACTGGTACAAACTGTTCCTGTGTCTTCATTTTTCCCACGAACGCAGGTGTTTATTGTTCATACCGATGTCTTGTTCCTTGTTTTTCTTCAGTATGATACTGATTTCTACGTRCTGGATAAGTACCCACTGGCTGTCAGACCCTTTTACACGATGCCTGATCCCAACAACCCTGTAAGTGTCTCACATATTCACAAACACCCACTTTTATCAGCTGAATAGCACAAATACCTCATAAAGAATTTAATATTACACTTTTTTTTTTCCCAAACTATGTTTTCTAACTGACCTTCTCAGCTTGTGCTGTGAATGCACTGTTTGTTGTGGCTGAGCCAAAGTTATGTAGACACATATTTTATTAATCCCCGTCTGGGATAGGGTTTTGTTGCAACAACAGACAAAAAATAAATATAAAAATAAAAATAAAAAAAAATTGAAAATATGATAATCAAGATTGAAAAACATTTAATGACAACTGTTTAAATTTACAAACAGTGACTTAAAGTGGAAAATTAAATGCTCAAATATGATTTAAAATGTTCATAAAACAAAGACAATATTAATAACTAACATATTATTTTGTGCAGTGTAATGGTTTTTGTTTTATGTTAGGATAGCCTGATCTTAAAGGTTTTTATTTATTTTATTTTATTTTTTCTTCACAGAAATACTCCAATTCTTATGACATGTTCATGAGGGGAGAGGAGATTCTGTCTGGAGCTCAGAGAGTCCACGATCCTGAGCTGCTGACTGAAAGGGCTCTGCATCACCAGATTGGTAAACAAAACAAACTAAAAGTTTTCCTTTGGGTTCTGGAAAAGGTTCATTCAGAATGAGCTGACTCCCTCTAGAGGCAAAAAGCTGCAACTACAACAACTGATTGTCTCATGCTATTCTAGATCTGGAGAAGATTAAGTCGTACATCGACTCCTTCCGATATGGAGCCCCCCCACATGGAGGTGGAGGCATTGGTGAGAAATAAACCACTTTGATTTGATGAAACCTTATAATGACGTCAGCTGGCTGTAAAGAATATCCATCATCTTTCACAGGCCTTGAGAGAGTCTGCATGCTGTACCTCGGCCTCCACAACGTGCGTCAGACCTCCATGTTCCCACGCGACCCCAAACGCCTCACACCTTGAACTCAACACTGTGGGGATGAACACAGCCCCCCCCGCCGGACTAACACAGACACACGCCGTTGATGCTACTAATCCACAGTCCAGAAAGGGAACAAGTGTAGAAGATCGTGACACTTTTCTGCCTCTAACACGCCACAAAAAGCTAATTATTAAGAAGAATGAAGTTATCAGTGTGGGGGGAGGCGGGGGACTTTATTGATTTGTGTTCATAGTTTTCTAACAACTATTAAAAACAAGATGCAATAAACATAAAGGAAGTGGTCACTTATTTACTTATTGGACTGCACAGACTTAATGCATTTTCTAATCAAAGAGAAAAAACCCTTTAACACAGATCTTATTTTCCAGCTTAGACCTTGGAGGAATGATTGTGTCCAGCTGTAGATCTTGTAAGTGATGAATAGGAATTAAACAAAGATAATTTAAAAAAATAAGCTGTTTTGTCTTTATGTACTGGAAAGAATCACTAATTAATATATTAATAGGTTTGATAAATACAGTCAGATTTCTATTTTCTAACTAATAAACAACATTGTAACTAAAACCAAATATCCACATTCTTGTTTCAAACAGCAACTATGTACAGCAAGTTAGGATATTTTACACAGTGACAAAGTACTCTGATTTATAAATGTAACTTTACAGACAGAAAAATACATGGAAATTGAATTTCTCTGCATGACAAAAATATTCTCTAAGTGTTTTGTTTATTCTGTTGCTGCTCCGCTGATTTGAAGGATGAAGAGGAAGATGTTAACGATGTCAACATAGAGGGAAAGGGCTCCATAGATGTACTCCTCTGGGCTGATGGCCAACTCCCGATTCCCGATGAGGAGCTGAGTGTTGTACACTAAAAACTAAAGGAAGACAGAGACGTTCTCAGATAAAACAAACAAAAACATAACAGACCAGGGTTTTTCAGTCTCGGGTGTGAATCTAAACATAAGGGCCAAAAGTTTATTTATACCAGTATATTTGTCTATATATATATATATATATACAGTATATACAACTTGGGTTGTTACCAACATCTGGTGAAAATTTCATGTCATTAGCACCTCTAGTAATACATTTACTGAGAAAAATGATGACATGTTCAATATTTATTTTACCCGCTGTGTATATATATATATTCAACCATGGTTGGTAAATCTTTAAAGAAATTCTCTTTGTTTTTTCATTCCCAAYTTCTAATTCTGAGCTCCAAACATAGCAGGTTTTTGTTTCTTTGGTCCAAAGATGAATCATCCTAATACTGCGGCTCATCCAGATCTGTGACATTTAATATTGATTTTTCATGTCAGAGACAGTCTCAGTGGACATTTTTAACATTTACATTTCAATGAGTGAAACTTTGACACAGTATTTCGCTCTCTGAGGAACTTGCAGCACAACATTACTTTGAATTGAAGCCTGTGTCCTAAAAGGGTTTTATTGTGTTGGTAAATTTTCTAGTTTTTTTTTTTAAGAATTCTGCTGTCTTTCTGCATAGATGATCCTCAGCCAGAAYAGAATTTAAAAATCTTCTAACATACAAAGCTCTTAACAACCAAGCTCCATCATATATTAAACATCTTATTGTTCCATACTTTCCTAACAGAGCACTTCGCTCTCAGACTGCAGGTTTACTTGTGGTTCCTGGAGTTTCTGAAAGTAGAATGGGAGGCAGAGCTTTCAGTTATCAAGCTCCTCTCTTGTGGAACCAACTTCCASTTTCTGTCCRTGARGCTGACACTCTGTCTACTTTTAAGATTAGACTGAAGACTTTCCTTTTTSATAAATCCTRTAGTTAGACTTAGGTTTCCTGAGTTATTCCTTAGTTATYATAGTTAATTAGTTCTGCTGCWATAGACTTAGACTGCTGGAGGTCAAACTGAGCACATTTCCTCAGTCTGTGAGGATCAATCGTGTGCAATTAATCGTCAGAAAAACAACTGATTATTTTTTGGCACTTGAGGATTAATACAAATWATGCCACCAGTCAGGTACGCTCGGTGCTCTCTCTGCTTCAAATATGACGAACATTAAAAAAAAAGTTCTGTAATTTATTTATCTATCAAAACAATTTAAAATTTGGTGTTTAGCCTGAAGTCTGTAATTTTCACACAATTTGGAACAGATTTTTACGAAGAGCAAATATTTCCCACTAACTTGGTCATGTGACCAGGACATAAGAGTGTCCAGGGACTCCAGAGGATTAATTGTCAAATTAATCGTTATCGGCTAAATACCCCCAATTAATCATGGTTAGTTTATTTTTTTGCCAATTTTTTCCATCTCTAATATGCACACAAACTCAAGGGTTAACCATCGCTGTTTCCTGTTTTCCCCAGGCCTTTCACTTTTTAGTTCAAACTTTTTATGACTCGTGGAGCTGAGACACATGAAGAGTCAAGTTCAGGTAGAAAACTGGACTGAAAATGAGTGGGGGGGGGGGGGGGCAAACCTTTGAAAAAATCTTAAGAATGCCTGATGAAATATTTCCAAATTCAAGAAAGCCTATCTCTTTTGAAGCAAAACATAAAGAAATGGAGTTATCTCAAGACTTAGAGATMAGCCCAGTTTATATGTCATACGTTACAGTGCTGCACGATTATATGACTTCCTGGACTGACCTAATATGAAAAGAAGCCCACAAATTTAAGGCTTTAGAAATAGCAAGTTGCCAACATGTYATTTAGATCCTGCAATATAGACTTTTATCTCTTTTGTTACTCAACAAAACCCTTGTAACAGCAAACTAAAACGCCCTCCTTGAAGTCATGTCAGACTCACCAGAGTGTAAACGATGGCTCCTATTGCAGCGTAGAGCATGTGAAGCCAGGGGACCTGTTGAGTGACACAAGAAAGGCCTCTGAATGGGAAACTGGTCGCACAGATAGACCCTTCAGAGCTGCCGCTTGCGCCGAGCAGCGCGAACAGAGAGAGCAGATCAAAGGATTTGACCAAAGAGTCCTCACATATTGGAAGGAGAGCACGACGGCCGTCACGATCCCAATGATCATGAGCAAAACAGCCGCGATGCAGAGAAACCCACCGCAGGAGGTGAAGTCCACCTGTGATGAGAAACAAGTCGTTAGGAGGATGAAAGGGAAGCTAATGTGCTTCGAGCCACACGGAGGCGCAGTGAGAATAATTTGAAAGAGGATCCAGAGTTTCTAATTTAAATTAAAAAAAAGCAGTGTGCTGGATGTGTCGCGTATACTGAACGTTATCTTGAGTTGCATCAGACAGAAAAGTTGGATTCACATCTTATCCCAAAATGCTCTAAATATTTAAAGGATGTCAGTGCCCCCATTGTAATGTGAGACAAAGGAGTTCTTTTACAGGGACAACAAAGACATCCTCTGACAAGCTACAGGCTGGGCCGCGACAGTTTACATGTGCCGTACCTTGGTTTGGAAGCAGAAGACTGTCACTGCGACGCACACTGTGGCTGTTATTCCCATGGCAAGAAACACAGCTTTTGTTTCATAATAACTGGGAAGGAGACACGTGTAAGGAAAACAGAAGAAAGGCCCACGGACAGTGACATGTCAGAGTGATGACCTCCTAAACAAACCTTGAAATTGTTCCAGCCATGTAAGAGAAAGCAACAGTCTGTAAGAAACAACAATGAAAATGTGTTAGTGACACTTTTTTTTTAGTATGACACCTTTCGGTTACACCAAAAAAAGAAGAAACAATCAAAAAGAAGAATAAAAGCAATGCAAATCTGTCTTTTTAGGAAACCTCCTACCATTTCCAACACTTCCACTTCATGTCTTCACAACAATGCTTCAGGGGGAGGGGTGCTCCGTGGGATGGGAGCTCAGCTGCAGACTGAACTCCAGCGAGGAGCTTTGAGTAAATAGGCGGAGCTTAGTAGGCCTCTGCAGCCCTTGATGGCATACTGAGGAGGCCCACTAATTAAGCACTCCTTGGGTTTAGCTGTGTTGAACCAGAGCAGCTCCTAAAACATGCAGGACACCAGCCCTTGAGGACTGACTTTGGACACTGCTGGTTTTAGGCCTCCACATACTCCAACATGAATCTGAACAGTCGATGTGCAGTCCTGTTCAGCGTTTGTTTTCGCACACACCTTTCAYAGTTCCTGAGACACATCGTGCCAAGTTCCTGGGAAACCCCTCCCGCTGTGGTACCGCGTCACTGCACGAAGTTCCTCCCCGCTGGCGTCTACAGAAAACTCTGATCTAAAGTTGTTTTTTTTTCACAAATCAGTCCCGGTTGATGCTCCTCCATATAAAACATATTTTTTTCATTTCCACTCATGAGTTTTTGGAYGTTTGATGGTCTTATTAAGTGTTTCTGGTTTCAACGGTCGCATTCAGGAAGACAAAATGCAATGTCTGAACACTTTAAGCACAAACAAACACGCTCACGAACTTCAGACCAATCACATGTAAACTTTTTAGCAGGAGGGGGTGCGACTACAAGATTCAAGGATTTCTCAAATGTGCATGAATGAGTCAAAGCAACATATGTGATGAGGGGATGACATCACATGACATAAAGCTCAGAAAATGGGATTTTGCCAAATACCCCTCCCCTTTTAAAATGATGTAAAAAATAGTGTTAAACATTTTTTTTAATATAAGCTTTCAGCTGTAAATTAAGGCAGTCCTTATTGTTTAATTCTTTATAGATCAAGATGACAAGTTTAAATTGAATCCTGAATTTTACAGAAAGCCAGTGTGGGAAAACAAACGAAAGGTTAAAAACAAGATCCTGATAAGAAGTCCTGTGGCTCAGTTTTGTGCTTAAGGGGGTCTTGGTTTAAACAGAAATAGAAGGAGTTGCAGACGTGACGTCACAAAAAAAGCATGAATGACAGTTTCTAGCCATCAAAGCTTGGCTGTAGTAACAGACTTAATTTCTTTGTTAGATTTGAGCTGTTGCAGATTCATACTCTAAGACAATACTTACAAATATTCCCAGCAACACCAGATTCAACGGAAAACGCCTCCTATCCACAAAAACACGAAGGGATAATTTGTCAAATATGTTAAAAACAAAAACATTTATGGTTATGACCTCATAGCTTATATGTCTTGCTCACCTTGGTTCTTTGCAGCAGATGAGAATGCAGTAAACCAAAAGAAACACCACACTGTGAAAAGATACGGCACTGTGAATGTCATTGTGCACTAACAGCAGTACAATTAAAGTTATTAACTTCTAAAAGTGTATTTGTTCATGGAAAGTAACTCACTACGATGTCCAGTARATGACAGGGTAGCTGATGACAAACATCTTCACTGAATCACTGTGAAACCACAAATATGATTCTTATTGGAAAGCATGTGGCTTCAGGAAGAAGAGCTGCTTATTAAGATGAATGGGGAGACTTACACAAATGTGAAGACAGAAATGACTGAAAAGGTGACGGCAAGCTGAATTGTTAAAATGAAGTAAACCTGGACACAAAAATATTAGTTAGATCAACTGATTGTTCCCACTAATCATTCATTATTGTGTTTGAATGCAGCGGTGAGGAAGAAAATCTTACTTTTCTGATGAAGGCGTGCCGAATGGATGTGCTGTCCCACTGGCTGCTGATCAAATCCTCCATGTCTCCTGCAGAAAAGCAGCAGAGTTTAGAAAAACCAGAAAAGGAGGGTGGTAAAAATTATTCYCAACGTCCTCAGAACCTGGGTTGGATGCATGCAGTCCTGCTGACAGAGTGGGGATGGCGATCCCAGCTGGAGAGAAACCAGGGCCTGGATACATGCTGGACTGTGGGTAGGCGCCCCCATGGCCCCAGTAACCAGGCTGGCTGGGGAACATGCCAGGACTGGGACTGTAAGATGGGGGCGAGGGAAGAGGAGCGCCATATGGTGGCTGGCCAGGAGACTGATCAAACTTAGGGTGATGCAGTGCCTCCTCGTAGGATGGAGGGGTGTCGCTTTTAGATGTCATTTATCTGAAGCACCTTTAGGAAAAGAATATACATTGCATAAAAACTACAATGTTTAGTATACCTATGCGTATTTACAATAAAACATGTTTTACTCATCTATTTAGCTGTCAAATTAAAGAAATAATCATACGTGTCATAACACAACCACAATGTTGAAACAAAACTAATCTTTCATTTTATAATTTAAATCTAGATCTCTTGATCTAACATAATTTCATGAGAAAAAAAGTCTAAAAATACTGACTCAAATGTATTTATTTTTTAAAAGTCTAATCAGAGTTTTACAAGTAGAACTTAAAAAATATAAGTTATTTACCTTTCAGCAGTTGTCTGTGATGGAAACACTGAGCACTTCAGCTCTCTCTGCTCAGAGGTCTGAYTCGCACCACGAGAACAAACGTCATCTTTGTAACTGGATATGTTCACTGAAACTCACACTGCTGGTTCCCAGAGAGCACGTAGACTGGTTGTCCAGGCTCCTTTTCAAGAAAGGGAAAGATGTTTAAATTGTGTGCTTTTATAAGACAGTAGATTTCATGTTTATTTGTTTATTTTGTTTTCATGAAGCAAAAATGCTGTAGCTATTAAAAACTTGAGAACCTTCCAACCTCAAAATACCTAAAATTTATATACAGATATAGACAGCTCTGGAAAAAAAAAATAAGAGACAACTTTAAAATGATCATTTT